TAGCAAAAGAAGAGAAAAAACACACAGCAGAAGAAAAACATCTTCTACAATAGAAGAGGCCATGTAAGTTAACACAACACCATTGAAGACAAGAGAGCTATACCAGTGAGGATCTGGGACCTGTACTGTGCATCTTTTGTTTCTCATACTGCCATCCTAATCCATTTTAGAAAAATAATGAGCATTGTGGACAGGTGCCATCCCAGGACCTCCTTGCCTCAGTTTCCCTTTGAGCTCCCAGAAATAACCCACTCACAGCAAGAGTCTTTAGAACAGTATTCCCCCTCTCCTAGGATCTAATTGATTCAGCATAGTTTAGCTCCCAAAGCAAGCTCCTTTTCGATCAGTGTTCCTATAGCCTGCCTTTGGGAATTGAATGGTTCAAGTTCTGATCTCCCAGCCCACAAACTCACTCCTGTAGATGAGATTCTCACAACCCTCTTCCTATGCTCTTAGCAGCTCTTGCTGGCCTGGGCTTGAAGCCTCATTTTGAGAGGCTCACAGAATCATCCCACCACTCCCTTAATCTTCCCAGCTGGGTGTAATAACCTCAAACCTCTGTCTGGATTGGCTGGCAGAGAGAGGAGGCTTGCTCCACCCAGGCTCCTGGGCCCTTAAAGGAACAGTAATCTGAGTTTTTCCCATACCTTCCCCCTACCAGACATGAACTGTTCCTCAGGGACCAACTTCTTTTGTTCTAGTGACTACTTCATTTACGTCCCAGGACACGCAGCGGGATGACTGGCCTCTCAAACTACCTCCTCTGGCCATAAAAGACCAGTGCCCCATTACAGGAATATGCTTCAGATGTAACAGGGGTGGCTGATGTATAACCGTACCTACAATGGATACAGGTGTTGAACTTGTCTGCGCCCCAGTATTTTGGGGGATATGGAGAAGGAAAGCTTCAAGTCTTGCACATTCAGGGAGGTCAGACTATTATTCCTTCTCGCGATCTCTCTGCTGACTCTAACATCCTCTGAGACATAAGTGAGAACAGCAGATTCCTAACCTGGGAAGTTCTCTGGGTTCATCTTTAAAAAACATTAATTCTTGTCTTCCTAGCAATCTGGATCCTTCCTTCGGTCACATTGTCACAAGTAGCACTGTAGCCCAGTGGGCTAGTTTGCCTTTATTATATTTATTGCTTTGCATTATATTCAGCAGTAATGCAAGAAACCTACAGGCCTGTATTCTGTAAGACATTAGCTTCAGCAAGTTAGCATAAGGCTTGAAACCTATAAACTTTGAACAGATAAACTTTGCACAGATAAATGGTCCAATGGAAAACCGCAAGTATTTGGGGAGCTGAAAATAGAGTTTAAGGGGAAGTTCTGACATAAATAATTCAACCACAGAAGTGTCCTGGCAACGAACTGGTTACAGGTACATGGGATATATTTAAGGCTAGCCTGCTTGCTTATATATCTTTTCTTGTAAGTTTCTTATTTTCTTATGGGTTTGATTATTTTATTATAATAGGTTTATAGGTCTATATTAGAGTATATTTTGTCTGTAACACAAGGGACCTGCAGGCCACATCCTGTATGGCGAGCTAAGGCCAGGTTAGAATACATATGTTTGGGACCTTTCACCTAGATAGATGGTGAAGAGCTAAAGCATAAGGTCCATGTATGGCTGTGACCTATAACATAGAGGATGCGTTAAAGTAGGTTGGCACAGGGGCTTTCCTAAGTTCATACCCTTTTAAACTTATCATGTACACCACAACTTGGAAAGAACCGAAATACTCGGTTAGGACAGAAATAACAAATGTGATACCTAACCACAAAAGGGCCATGGTAATGAATGGACATATATGATAATAAGTTGAGATCATTGATATACTAACCTATACGAAAAAAACATTCCAACATTAGCAAGGTGAGGAAATACAAATAAGGAAGGGGAAAAAAATCCCCTACTGAATATGCATCAAATACAACAGTGTCAGCGTAACATATTACAAAAACGGCATCCCAGCCTAGGCGTGGTATGAGAGAGAGGTGTAGTCCTTGGGAGGTGCCAGGATGATGACCACTGGTGATGATGGGGAAGGTGATGGTGATGAGGATGATAACCGCTAACATTTCACGTTGTTCTATAGGAGATGGTGTGATTATACAGATGTGGAGAAGGACATTCTGTAGTACCTCTATCTACCTTTACTGATTTGGGGTGTTTGTGACTATGCTAAATGTATGAATAAACTCTATTTGTAAATATAAGAGTTCCTATAGTGCAACTGTGCACGTCAGGGTTCCCACCAGTATAATAATTTGAATAATACTGGGCCTGAACTTGGGGCAAGAACCTGGCAACCCTCGAAGTGATAACTGGGGACTCTTAAGTAATCAATATAATTAATATGCAATCTAAAGATCAGGCAACAGCACTGCAATGTACTTGGTTAGACATGAAGGTCACCTACTGACTTTGAAGGGACCTGAGAGAGTCAAATGCCAAGAAAGGACTAAAAGATAAAAATAATGAAAACGGGCACAGATTAGAGGGGGAGGGTATGTGATGGGACATATACTCTACACTGGTATAGAGATAGCTAATTGAAGCCAGAGAGCAATTAGCCCATCCAGTTGCACCACAAAGATGGGCCAGGCCTAATTAAGGATCAATCCCAGTAGAAGTAGGGTAACTAATAGAGGAAGGATTCTAGGGCAGTAGAAGTCTTAGGGATTCTCTTCTGGGATAGGAGCCTCTGGTAAGGACCAGATTGAAGTAAGCTCTTGTGATAGGCCTTGATAAGAGACACCCCTGAGCCAGCCCAGGGCTGGGACTTCAGAGACAGAGAGAATTAAACTGGTAGGGAGGAATCATCTAGGAGGTGTCACTCTGTGCAATAGCGGGAAAGACCTCTGCGGAGACTGGGAAGGGGAGAAGAGCCTGTGGAAGAGTGACCCCAGAAAGGGGCTTGGGAACAGGTCCTAGAAACAGGCTGAGGTAAGAAGTAGTCTAGGAAAGCAGAAAGGGGGCTGAGGGTGCAGACCTTAGGTGCTTGTTACAGGGCCAGTAGACTGGAACCCAGAGTACAGGAAGGGCCTAAGTTTGTGAAAGTCCCCCCAATATATGAGGTGTAAGGACCATTGAGCTCAGAGATGGGCTGAAGACCTGGTGTAAGGCCATTGGACCATAGTATTAAGAAGAGGCACAGTGGCTGTCAGCAAGGGGTGTCAGAGGAGGACAGTCTAATAAGCTATGCCCAGCCATGAGGGGGCACATTGGCTGGTGAGTCACTCTTCTACAAGGGAAATGAAAAGGCATTTTTAAAGCACTTGTTTTTGCAGCGTGAGACACTTTGGGGAACATGGTAGATTTGAGAGAGCCATGTTAATCCTTGCAGAGTGCATCATATTTTGTTATTTGACACCTTTTCCTCCAAATCTTTCCATACTCCCTGCCCCACAGAAAAAAGGGGGTCTGCAGATCCTGGGGGAAACTTCAGAGGCCCAGAACGATCCTTGTGGAGATTTTATATCTCAGCACTGGTCCCAGGGAGTGCGATGCCCTGGCTTACCCTGACAGTGTCCCAGTTCATTTGCGATCTACTGCACCTGTGACAAGTAAGGGCCAAAATAACTAATATGGGCCTGATCCAAAGGCCGCTGAAATCAGTGGAAGTCTTTCCATTGACTTCAAGCTCTTGGTTGAGAAATCCCACGGCAGTAAATGGTAGGTCTGAATGTAGGCTGACTGAAAGAATGGACAAACTATGATTTTTGGATCTCTTTCCCCTATCCATCCTGTTTAGATTCTAAGCTCTTCAGTGTAATAGCACTCTCTACCCTGGGCTTGTATAATGCCTAGCACAATCTTGGTTAGGCCCAAGGCACTACCATAATAAACATCAATAGCAATAATAGTGGTTTCTGACCATGTTATAGCAATGACTGCGCTACAGAATCAGCAGTTCACTTCCACCCTATTGCACTTCTGTCAGATATAACCACATTTCTGTTTTCTTCTCCAGATCACCAGCCTAAATTAGATAGTGGTAGTGCATGACCTACCTATCTCACTTCCTGGATAAATATTGAGACTATGCCCATCACAGTGGTACCTAGTTTTAGTCATCTCTTCCTATGGCAGACACTGATACTAGCCAAAATGAATCCAGAAAAGCTTTTCCTGTTTTGAAAATGCTCATTTATTCATGTCCAGCTGCTGTTAGAGAACATCTTTTTTCTTAATATACCATTTAACAAAAACTTCTGTGATTGGTAGGACACAGGGGCTATAGAAATGAGAATCTTTAGAGGGGGTCTGGTCAGTAAGGCTAGTTCAAATTTTTGCTTGTGTTTCAATTTTTCCTAAATGAATCTTTCATCAGCCGCGCAGATCTATCTTGGTAACCCCAAATGATTAATATTTTGCTGTTTTAAAGAAATTAGTGTTCTGTACCTTGGTCCTGCCGTGAGAGCCACATGAATAGACCCCTGCCCCCTCCAGAATGACACTGAAGTCAAAAAGGCTCCATGTGGGTCTGTCTGAGTGCATTCCATTGGCCTTAGACTTAAATTCTGGGGAGCAGGAACCTTTACTTTGTATACATTTGTACATCACCTAGAACAAAAGGGCCCTGATTTTGCCTGAGGCCTCTAAACACTTTATTAGTATACATATTAAATCATTATTAGATGAAAGGTACCTAACTGACAGCTCCAGAAACCAAAGTCCTCTGTACAGAGCAGGTGCAGCATGAGCAGTGACAATGCAGATAGTTTTCCAGCACTGCCCTGCTTAATCTTGATTAGCAAGGACAATTTATCAGTGGGCTAGTCAAAAATTTTCCCTCAAAACCCAGGTTTCTGTCAATTTTTTTTTAATCTAAATGACATTTTTCACAGAGGGTATCTGCTTTCCTTAAAAAAACAAAAATCAATTATTTGTCAATTTTAGTACAAAAAAGTTCTTGGTTTGGGGGCAGTTTTAAGCAAATTATTTGAAACATCACAAATAAAACAATGTATCATGTATTGCCTCAATAAGTATTAACATCATGTTTATTTCAAAGCATCAATGACACATTTCATTTGGATTTTATTTGTACGTGCTTCCATCAGAAGAGCAATGTATCCACTGAGGTAATGCTATTTATGGTATTAAAGTTAAAAAAAAGGAAACCACTGTTTGAGAACACCTGTAATATCATCATACACAAATGTAACATTGATGTACCAATGATGCTGTGACCTGTGAAGAACAGAACATTTTTGGGCATGTATTATTTCAACCTGTGGGCAGCCACATGGAATTACCAGTAATTAAAAGGATCTGAAAAAGTGTGTGTGGGGGGGTCTTATCACACCACATCTGCCTGCCCCCAGTAGTTCTGCCCACCCAGCCTCACCTCTGTTCCTCCTGCATCTCCAGGAATTCTTCATCCTGGTTTCCCAGGCCTGGAGGAAAGGGGAGGAGGTTCTACAGCAAGAGCCTCTTGTATCCCTTCCCAGGCCTGGTAGCGTTGGGATGGGGAGGAGCTGTCCCATTGCTCACAGGAGGGGCAGGGGAAGGAAGGATCAGAGCTATTCTGAGATGCTGGAGTCTTTCCGCTCCCTTTGTGCATCCTGTGAGATTGGTACTGGGCTGCTAAGGGAAAAAGGAGAAGACTCTGGTCTGCTTCCTCCAGCTGCTCAGATTAGCTGCTCTTCACCAAAGGTGGGCAAGTCGAGAAAGCCGCCAATGAGAAGGACGTTCCTCAGGTGGTACTAAAAATGTGAGCATCTCAGCAAGCTGGCTGGCTTCTTAGCAATTGTATTTCCCAGGCCTGTATCGTGTTTAAACCTGGTGCACTTTAAGCACTGGTAATTCCCATTAGCACTGAGGAGGTTTGTGCATACAACCCTGGCATAACAGGAATATAACAACACATACAAAGCACTTGCTGTGTTTAAAGCATTTCACATGTGTTAACAAATCAGTCCTCACAATGCCCACATGAGGTTAGCAGGTAAACACTATTATTCCCCATTTACAGGGAGGAAATTGAAGTTACTCATCCAGCTCCACAGAGCAAATACATACAGAGCCCACATTAACGTTTGGGATCTCCTGACTCTTCATTTAAATACCATAATCTGTTCCTTTGCCATTCCTACTCACTTCAAGGGCTTGATCCATAGCCCAGTGAAGTCCATGGGAGTCTTTCCACTGACTTCAATTGGCTCTGCATTGAGCCCTGAATCAAGAAAACTGATTCATGGCAAAAAGCAAGCAAGGGCTGAATTCATCACTGATGTGACTCCACTGAGATGAAACTGGCCTCAAGAGGTTTCACCTGGTGAGGTAAAGGGCAGTTAAAGCTAAACCTACATACATAGCAAATCAATGTTTTTGGTGGCCTTAACTGATTAGAATTTTTTACTCATAATTCTGTGAGACACACCAGAATACACAAAATTTATATAATACTAAAAACTCAGGATTATGGATTGAACTATTAACCTTTCTGAATAAATATGTGAGATTTTACACTGGCTTTATGGTTCCACACCTATACTTTCTAGTTTCCCATTCATTATGGGTGAAAAGAGTTAACATGGAAACACCTGGATATCTTCCACTATAAAATGAATGGGGAAAGACTGAGGATTATAAACATCTTGAAAACGACACAAAGCAAAATGAATAATCCCAGAATTTTAAAGTTTGTTGGTATGACTGTTCATACAGGCCCTGACCCAGCACAGCATTTACGCACATGCATAACATTAATCTTAGTCCTATTGTTGGGATTACAAAGATGCTTAAAGCTACTCACGTGCTTAAATGCTTGACTAGATTGGTGTCATAACAAAGAATTAGTTAGTATGAATTTTCTGCAGGTCTTCCCAATAAACCAGGGATGAGTACACTGCTTCTTTCAACTATTGTCCAGAGAAATGGAAGCATATACAAACTATTCAAAACATTTACAGCTGCTAGAAGTTACATTTTCCTGTTTTCTTGACTTGTACAATGGATAACCAGAGAAGAAAAACAGCAGGAAAGGGTTTTCCTCCACACACTAAAAAGAACAGGATGTAGCTGTGAGGCTCACAGCTAACTCTTTTGTGTTAAGTTCACATTTCTGTCAAATGTGGCCTCAAGTATACAATAAAAGCTGCAAGAATATAAAGGTAGTGGGTATTTCAGGGAAAATATGTACCCTTATAACCAGATCCATATTCCTCTTTAGCACCTTTTGTACTCTGTATAGGCATGGTACTGCTCCATTGAAGTAAATGGCAAAACTGGTGTTGACTTGATTGGGAGCAAGACTTGGACTCTAAGCTTAGATTTTCAAAAGTGACTAGTGATTGGGTCTCTCAGTTTTGGGTGTGCCCAGTCTGAAACATCTTAAAGGGGCCTCATTTAAAAAAACAACAACCAGCCCTCTGAAAATCAGGCCCCATTAGGTCTCTTAAGTGGAGCACCCAGAAATGGAGGCACCTAAAATCATCAATCATTTCTAAAAAAACAATAATTCTGCTTTGTCATAAATACACTTTATAAACATATCCAAGGAAACAATGGTGAATAGCACAATGAAATCCATAAGATGTATTGAAGGAGAAAAATCGATGAGCTAGTTCAGAACAGCGTGGGGGCCATGGCTCCATCTCCTCCTGACCACTTCTGGAGCAATGAGTGCAGAGACTGAGATTGTGACTGAACTTTACATGCAGCATGCAAGGGGCTAACAGACACCCACTTTCTCCCCAGCATTGCAGATCCATACAAGGGCCAGGGATGACTTCACCTTGAGAAAAGTGATATGACTTTGGAAGGGGATAGCCTAATTACCCTAATTAGCAAATACACTACAACCCCAGGCAGTTTCTCATCAATGGGTGAAAAACAAATATACTCAGCCTGGACTACTTACAAGCTTCTATGACACTGTAATACACACATATTTGAATAAAACAGGCATGGTTTGGGTTTTGATATTACTATATTTTGAAAGAGGAGATTATTTTCTATCCTAAGTGACAATAGATGGGCAACTCCTCCTCAAATACTTTTTCCTAACTTCTTGATCTTGCATCCTCTTATGCTTTCTCAACTGGACGCCATCAAATTAGGCCTGAATAAAGACTGGGAGTGGATGGATCACTACAAAAACTAATTTTCCCTGCTGATACTTACACCTTCTCGTCAGCTGTTTGAAATGGGCCACCTTGATTACATTGGCCTCATTAGCACTACAAAAGTGATTTTTCCTCCCTTGGTATTCACCCCTTCTTGTCAACTGTTGAGAATAGCCCACTTCCACCTTACTTGAATTGGCTCATTAGCACTGACCCCCCACTTGGTAAGGCAGCTCCTATCTTTTCATGTGCTGTGTATTTATACCTGCCTACTGTATTTTCCACTCCATGCATCTGATGAAGTGGGTTTTAGCTCACGAAAGCTTATGCCTAAATAAATTTGTTAGTTTCTAAGGTGTCACAAGGACTCCTTGTTGTTTTGGTGATACAGACTAACACAGCTACCACTCTGAAACCTGTCAGGTACACAAGTGTTTGCAAGATCAGGGCCATGATTATTCTGATTGTAAAGATGTTTACCTTTTTGAAAGTTCCAATGAGCTCTTCAGTGTGATTGCTTTTATTTTTCAAAAGCAACCTATCACTCTGGGCCTAATCCTTTTCCTATTAAAATCAGTGGGAGTTTTGATACTGATTTCAGTGGGAACAGCAGGGGGATCATGATCCAAGTGGCAGACTTACTGTTCCTCTGACACTGAGACAATGCCAAACCCAGGGTTCTAAAGTGAAAACAAAAGTTAAGTCACATAATGAAAGCATAGTTTTATATAATATGGGAAATATTCTCTGCTGCACACAATTATCCTTAGTTTAGTGTTCCCTCTCTCCAGAGAACCCTGATGCTACCCTAGTCCTTGCAAGCATGCTACCCTTTCTGCAGACTCCTGCCTTTACCTGTAGTCATTGTCTACTGCTTTTTTCTCTGCCTGCTCAAGTACCCAGCAGTAGTTGTCTGTGGCGCTCCTGGCTTTCTTCTTTTCCTTCTTGGCTTTCCTCTTCCTATAGATGAGCAAGCCCAGGGCAAAAGCCATCAGCAGCAGGATAACCACCACGCTGCCCAGGATATAGTACAGGAGCAGTTTGGGGCCATCGGTGGCCTGGTCAGCGTCGGGTTTCATCATGGGTTCCCCAACCCCTGCCGCCCTGCTGACGGCAGCTGGCTGGAGGGTGCTCGGTTCTGCTCCCCCTGGCTGGGATCGGGTGGTTGGATCAGAGCGCGGGGCTGGGCTCTCGGTAGCAGGGTGGGTGTCCGGCGGCTGTCCACCCCCAGCCGTCGGCTCCTCTTCTCCTGGGGGGCGCAGGGACAGGGACGGGGCCGCGCTGCCGGCGGTGGTGGGGCTGGAGCCGGAGAGGCAGGAGACGCCGTTGGGGGCCAGCGCCCAGCCCGGCGGGCAGAGGCACTGGTAGCTGCCGGGCTGGTTGACGCAGCGCTCCTGGCAGGGCTCCCCCAGGCACTCGTCCACGTCCCGGCAGGAGGCCCCGTCGGGGCCCCGCTGGTAGCCCGGCCGGCAGGCGCAGAGGAAGGAGCCCGGCGTGTTGGCGCAGAGCTGGGCGCAGGGCGCGCCCTGGGCGCACTCGTCCAAGTCCCGGCACTGGCGGCCGCCGGGCCCCGCGGGCTCGTAGCCCGGCGGGCAGGTGCAGGCGAAGCCCCCCGCCGTGTTGAGGCAGCCGCCCTGGCAGGGCTCCTCCAGGCACTCGTCCACGTCCCCGCAGCTCACCCCGTCCCCGGCCAGCGCGTAGCCCGCGGGGCAGCGGCACTCGAAGCCCCCCGGCCGGCCCAGGCACAGCCCCTGGCACGGCCGGGCGCTGCAGTAGTCCACGGGCGAGCAGGAGAGCAGGTCCCCGCCCAGCCGGTAGCCCGCGCGGCAGGCGCAGCGGAACGAGCCGCCGGCCAGCTCCAGGCACTGGTGCTGGCAGCCCCCGTTGCTGTAGGCGCAGCCGTGGCGGGGCGAGGCGCACAGCGGGCCCGGGCTGTTCCACGCGAACACGCCGCCCTCCTGCGCCGTGCACACCAGGAAGGGCCCCGGCGCCTGACCCTCGCACGACACGGCGGCCAGGGAGCCGAAGGGCACGGCCGCCAGGGAGGCGTTGTTCAGGCCGAAGGGGGTGGTGTAGGTGACGCTGCCGGGCCCGGCCAGCGCCAGCTGGCGGCACATGCCCTGGAAGCTGAACTTGCAGAGGTAGCCCTGGACCCTGGCGGAGGAGCCGCTGCAGGGCCCGTCGGCCCAGCCCAGCCCGGGGGAGCTGGGGGCGGTGCTGTTCCAGGGCAGGCTCACGCAGCGCCTGCTCGTGCAAGTCTCCCGGGGCTCCCGCAGCCAGCCGGTGTAGTTGGTCTCCTCCCCGCCGGAGGCCCAGCTGAAGCCCTTGAGGAGCTGGTGCTGCTGGTAACACTTGCCCTTCTCCCGATGGAGCCCGATCCAAAGCCTCGCCTGCCCCTCTGGCCCAGCTTCCCTCCTGGGCAGCTTGGCTAGCAGATCCTGGACATGCAAGGCCTCTTCCTGGCTCTTCATGGTCACCAGGTTGCCTCCATTTCTCTTGCAGTTCTCCTGGGCATCCGCCCAATTGTGCTTGCCCCAGTGGATGGTGTAGCAGGCAGTCTGGGCGCACAGGGCCTCTGCCTCCTCACTCGCCCACGAGGGCACCCCCCAAAGCAATGCCTGGCCTAGGAAGAAAAGGGCGATTCCCATGGTTGCTTTGGTCTGGTCTGGCAGAGAGCGGCAGGATCGGTGCTGTTGCTGTCCCAGGCACCAGATGCACAGATGGGACCTGCAGGGGACACACATCAGATGTTAGAACAAAAGAGCAGAAGCTGTTTGCCTTTCAGATCCCTTTGGCCCAAGGAGCTGCCCTGCACGCATCCTGTGCTGTTGCGACTCTTATTTATCACCGGAGACTAGAGTTTCCTGTATTTTAGTTACTGGTGGCTTCATCCCCGTGGTTTGTTGATAACAATCAAGATATTCAGCTGCTTTTCTTTGCCTTCCTTTAAGTGAAGTGGTTTAACACCAGTTTAAAAAAAGATTTACCAGTAAAGGGCTTTCTTTATTTTGGCCCAGTGCTCCCCTCCCCCTGTAGGAGAAACTTGCTGGAATGCTGCTTTCTTGTTTTATTTTTAAAGGACATAAACTACTTACTCATTGGTGACTTTTTCTAACCCCCAATAGGGAGTTCTAGTTTTCCAGTATCTATTGGAGAAACAACAACAAAAAAGGCATGGAATCCCTGCTTATGATCCTAAGCATAGTTAACATTTCATCTTCTAGAAGAAATGGAATACTTGGTGCATATAAGTCATCCACACAATTAATTTCAGGCACTCCCCTCCCCCCCCCATTCTTGCACTTTAAATAGATGGAAAAGTCCTTAAATAGGGATTGGGTCGTGAGAATGTCTGAGCTCCATGCACTAAGCCAAGTTGTTTAAGGACACCAAACCAACTCAAACTCAGTGTACAGTGGGGAGTTCTCTAAATGCAGCCCACTTAGTCACTGATCTGTTGTCCAGAACCAGTCACTTCAAACAGAAGAAAAGCACTGAACAGCAGCTGCTCATACCTGGGACTTTTGAGCATCAGAGCAATGATATTCCAAGTTAATGGTTTTGGGGAATTTACAGATCAGTGATCAGTTGTATCATCAGTTCAGTTGCAGCTTGAGCCAAACCCAGTGAAGTCAATAGGAACCTTAAAGAAAGGGCCAAGTAGTTAGCGTGAGAGGTTTTACTGGATGAACAAATGCATTAAAAATGCACAAGCCTTCAGGCCCCAAAAGTCCCCTTTTCTGGGACTGGCAACTTTTACGAAAAGCACAATTGATACTGAGTTGATTGACCTCTTTGTAATAAAGTAGAAATACTTCATTTGAGAATCAGAAAGTGTTTTACTGACGTCAATTAAAACTCACAGTTACTGAGGTGTAATTATTTACAACTATTATTTTGCAGATGGGGATTTGCATGAGATGCAGAGAGGTTAAAGGTCAGATTTTCTTTATACAATGGGGTCCTAGATCCATGCACATTTTCTGCCTGTGCATTCATGTGCTTGCTTTTGAGTGCACACTTATTGCAATTGTGAGCATAACTTAAATAGATGAAATGAAGGCATCTAAATATATATTAATGTGTCCAAATGTCTCATGTGGATGTCCAGATAGGCCTGTGTGTGCAAACATAGGTGCACTAATGAATATGCAAGTATGCCCATGGATCTTGGACTTCACTTTGGGGTATATCTCCCACTCTTTAGGCCCACACAGAGTCCAGGATAGTGCCAAGATTATGGACTGTGAAGGCAAATGGAACGGACTCAAGGAAGGGAGAGAGATAAAAGACAGGATGCTTCTTTTCCTCCCAGTTCTTGCCTTTGAGACATTCAGCTGAAAAAAGTTAACTTGGTCAAGGTAGGCAGTCATTTCAGTTGTCACAAGACAATGTACTGTACATACAGTTCATTTGTACAGTCATCAGAGTAACTGTGGCAATGTTAAAGGATGAAATACAGTAACCAAGGGAGAGAATAGAGAACAGATGCTAGAGAATGAGCCCAGGTGGGACATCTTGGCACAAGGGTCAACCATTGCCAGAGATATAGAAAGAGCAGTTTGATAGGCAGGGCTGTCCCTAGGGGAGTGCGGGGCCTGGCACAGATCAGCCTCCCCGCTAGTCTCCTCGCTGTCCGTACAGCGCATCCCCTCATCCACGCGACTGCCGCTCTCCTTGCTGTCCACCCGCCTACTTGCTTCCTCACCTCCTCCTGCCTGCCTGCCCGCCTGATGCTCGCCTCCCTGTTCGCCTCCTCACCCCACTCACCCACCCCCCCTCCCGCCTCACCTGAATATCGGGACAAATGGCATCCTGATTGTACATTGGTTGGGACACGGGACAAAGGGCCAAATATCAGGACAGTGCTGATTTTATTGAAGTGTGGGGCCCCCCCCAAAGCATGGGGCCCAGGATGGTCACCCCGATTCGCCCTACCCAAGGGACGGCTCTGTTGATAGGCAAAAATGGAACGAATAACAGCAAGCCAGAGATGTCTTCACATCTAAGGCGTTGGTCCAGGAAGACAGAACTGTGATTACAGTGTAGAAGCCTGTGTGGTCAAGGAGAATGAGAAAGCAGAGGTAGCCATCATCAGTAGGGAAAATCATAGAATCATAGAAACATAGAATATCAGGGTTGGAAGGGACCTCAGGAGGTCATCTAGTCCAACCCCCTGCTCAAAAGCAGGACCCATCCCCAATTAAATCATCCCAGCCAGGGCTTTGTCAAGGATAATAAAAAAGTTTATTAACTCTCTGCAGAAGAATGATTTCTTTGCTATGGCTAGACCAATAGTCAAAGAGAAATTAGCCCAGCGTATTGTTGTGGGACAGGTGGTTGGAGTGATGGAGGAGGGAGTTACTTTTGCAAAAACTTTGGGAAAGGGGAAATAGAGATGGGCCAATAGTTAGCTTCAGGGTCATGGGAGAGCTTTTTTAAAAAGGGGGGACTAAATTCTGAGCTGGGGTGTGAAGAAGCAGGCCCAACTCTATTGATTTAAATCAGAAGTCAGTGGAATTGTACCTGCTCACACTGTGTTTGAATTTGGCTCAGGAACAGTGGTACGTTTTGGAGAGTTGGGGGAAGAACCAGAGAAAAAAGAGTGTTATATTGATAAAGGGGTGTTTGGGGCCCAACAAGAAATAAGATGTTTCTGAAACCCGTGGTCACTGTTACAACATTAAACAGTGCAGTATGGACTGAGGATTTGTTTCACATTATCGCTGGTGACTCCTACTGGGAAAACTACCATAAAATGTTTTAAACTTTTAATTAAAGACACAGAAAAAGCTGTTAACGGCCTTTAAAATGTGAAGTAGTAAGTCAGGCTTTCATTTTCACAATATCCCATATTCCCTTTCCCTTTAGCTGTAGAGAGTCTTTTGGAGAGAGAAACCTCTCCATGACTGTTTTTAGATGGTGTTAAAGATGGTATTAACTGTTTTTTGGGGGAGGAGAAAAGGTTAGTTCAGTCAGTCTGGATCTCTTGTCTCTTATTGGAGTCCGGTCCTGTTTCTTTAAGACAAAACAAGACAAACACACGCAAAAGGGGAGAAAAAAGAGACCAGTAAACATGGAAAATGCAGCTTCTGTCTCTGGTGCTGACTCTCATGTGAGATCTTGCTGCTGAGGAAACACAAGCCCAGCACAGGGTCTTATCCACTCCAAGCCCTGGCAAACTTTTATCTGCATATGGCTGCTTAAGGCATTGCTTTCTCAGAGCAGTGTTCCAAGAGGTGTAGACTTCTTGTTGGCTAAGCCAGAGACAGACCGAGGCAAACAGAGAGGGAGGGAGGAAAGAGGAGAAATGCAGTAGGAAGGAAAATGACAGATGTGTAGTGAGTGACTGCAGGAACTCAACTCTCACATTCCTGGTGTTCAGGAGTTAGCTGAAGGTGGTGATGTTATGGCCTGGTCGGGTCAGGACGATGAAGGCCCAAGAGTGTCAGGTTGGTGGTTAGGGTCTCATGAGACAGTGGGGGTAGGAGCCATGACGGTAAAGCTCGCTCCTTCCAGTCTACCCATCCTGCTGCTCCCATCTAGTGTCCCCCAAGTAAATAATGAAAAGGAGTACTTGTGGCACCTTAGAGACTAACCAATTTATTTGAGCATGAGCTTTCGTGAGCTACAGCTCACTTCACGAAAGCTCATGCTCAAATAAATTGGTTAGTCTCTAAGGTGCCACAAGTACTCCTTTTCTTTTTGCGAATACAGACTAACACGGCTGTTCCTCTGAAACAAGTAAATAATGTTCAAGAAGGGGTGTAAACCTCATTCCATTCATATTAACCCATGAAAACACATTGCCACCCATATTTAGAATCTTTCAGCTTGTTGTCATGCCAACCGATGACTACCAGGAGCATTTGAAGATCTTTCCTCTTCAATTAACCTAAACAATCCAGTTTGTCCCAGTCTATTGGTCTCCAGCTTTTGCTGACTTTTACAAACAATTTTATGTAACAGACTGAATTGGATTTTTGTTTCCTTGGATACAGTAGAGTACAGGCCTCTGCCCATCAGAAGTTATTAACAGTAGTGATGAGGGAGGGAGCAAGGGTTGGACGGCAGGACAAACTGACAGGCGAGAGAAATGGATCAAGAGAGGAGGAAGTTTAATATAAACCCCTTGTAGCCCTCTGAAGAACTACAATCTCTCCAGACCACCTCTGTCACCATGTGGAAGTGAAGGATTTGGGTGGAAAGCTTACCAAGTTTTGCAGATGCCTCTTGGTGTAGACATGACAATGATAGATTTGGCTCACTCCCGTTGGCCTCGTTTTGGGGAGAAGGGACAGGGGGTTGCCCTGTCAAACTGAAAGCCTCGAGCAGGCGTGGAATTTCTCCCCCCACACCCGTCCCTCTGGGCCTAATTGGAGCTGCCCCCAAAATATAGAAGTCAAACTACTCTCCCAACTAACTTTACCTCCAATGTTGAACCTGTAAACAACTGTGGCTCCCAACAAAATAAAAGTATTTTCATCAGTCCCACAATGCATTATTAATTCATCTTTACTTCTGGGTCATTTTATATGGCAATGAACATACTCTTAAATAACATACTCTTAAATTTGCAACTCAGAAAGATTTTCAAAAGGCACATTAAGACAGTCACACTTGGTGTTGAGCTCATGTTGGTATTTTTCCTTTTGGTATATTAAGTATATTAATCCAGTGGGGTTTATTTCCAGCCAAAATCCCTGTTGAATAGAATTCCGTTTAAGGATCACAGTATCTGACCCTGTTGATTCACTACATACTTTAAAAGTTTAGCAAGTAGTACCACTGGCATTTTCCTAACTTTCAGCATTTTTTCTTTTTTAAATAAATATTGAAAATTGAACATTACCATTAGAGCTATTGATGAACATCTGAAAGTAAATAAGTAACAGTAGATTGTAATTTTTAAAAA